AAATTCTGGTAGTCCTCAAAGTATCTTTTTTTAAAGGCAAGTAAAACGGATTATTGAAATATTGCGTATGAATTTATCAAAAACATTTGCACATTGCCTAAGTAGAATGTTTTACTATATTCTTAATTGCTTTAACTTTCCTACGCTGCTAGTTTCACTGAAATCAATACACCTTCATATTTCATTTCCAAAAAGAAGTCACATCTTCTGAAAGAAATGTTTCCTTTTCCTAAATGCTTCTATGGAACAATACTCTTCTCCAGATGCATTAATCATAGAAATGGGACTCATTTAATTGTAGCTACTTAGACATTACATAACACTGTTTAGTATCCTTACAGATGTAATCAGAAATTGCCTGGTTAATTATCCACTTACCAGAAATCATAATCTTTTGTCAAAAGTTAAAATTATTCTTACTAAAATATCAGCAATCAGAAGTGACCAAACAGCAGTTTTATCTCACTGAAAAAAAGATCTTGCTCTGCAGCTCTTGCTCAGCCTGTGTCAGGGTTGACTGCAAGGCAGAGGAGGCTTCACGCCTGGAATTTTTTAGAAAGTGACGGCTCCAGGCTGAGGGCTCTATCTCCTCAGCTCTGCTGGGTTTACCTGACCATGGGTCGGGGTGTTGGGACTCTGGTATCAGTAAGTACATGGTCCAGAAGAAGCTCTAGTCAGAGAGGATAAGGGAAGTCTAAACACCAGAGAAGCCTGTAGACATGCAGCTTAACAGTCAACCTGTGCGTAGTGAAATATACTGACATTTCTCAAACAAGTCCTAAGAATATTCATGTTCGGTAAAAATCTCTAATATTTCACCACTTTTATAAGTTTTATGTGCTTCTGTGTTCTTCAAACACTTCTAGCTAGATCAGTTTTACCATGAGGGTGGTGAAACACTGGAATGGGTTGCCCAGGGAGGTAGTGGAGGCCCCATCTCTGGAAACCTTCAAGGCCGGGTTGGATGGGGCTCTGAACAACCAACCTGGTCTAGTTGAAGATATCCCTGATTATTGCAGGGGGGTTGGACTAGATGGGCTTCAAAGGTTCCTTCCAACCCAAATCATTCTATGATTCTATGATTCCATGACTCTAATATTTTTTTCAGTGTGAAAACTTGATAGAAATTAATTATATTATTTTTCCACAATTCTTCTATATTACCCTGAAGAGAGATTGCATAATTTGCAGTTGCATTGTAAATACACATTACTTTCCTATTCATATTCATTAATAAATTCTATTCCTCCTCATTTTTATTTGCTTGGAGGTGGAGGCTATTTGAATAGCAAATCACAGATATTGATTAAGTAGTAGAAGAGGAAACCATCATGTATTACAAGTTTATCCTTTTATCAGTGATTTGACTGCAGTGTACTTCAGAAGGAAGTTCCCAATAAGGCCAGCATCAAATATTTAAAATAACCCAGTGTCTTGGAAGAGCACTGGTGTATTGGTATACTCAAATGTTAGGATAAATTGGTAACAATTTAGGAAAAGAGAACAAGAGAGAACAGACTATCTCTTGCTCGAGACCTTTAAATCAAGATGGTAAGTGGGGGAGATCCCACTATATATGTTCTGAAAGTCTTTAAATTAATGAAGGATTCATTTGGAACATTTTATAAGTGGTGTTCTATAAAAAATTCAACTTTGAAGCAAATAGAATATGATCTTTTTTTTGTTTGGATTCAGAAAACACACAGTTGGTTTTTTTAAGTTTGGCCACATCAGCATGATTTGAGAAGTCTTACGTTCCTGGGGAACTAATGGGTTCAGCATCAGCGTATAGCATATTTTTTTAAAGTTTAGGTTCTGAAACAATTGGTCCAGGATGCATTTCCTATAATTGACGAAAAGCATTTTCCAAAGGTTGCATCAAGAAATTTACAAAAATATGTAGGTTCTGCCTGCCTAAACAGGCTTCTGCTAAAATTCTCTTAAAATAATTCTTCAAAGATTTCTGTGTGTTAGCATACTGCAGAACACACAAAGTCATTAAATCATTGTCTATCACATGAATTCATTAATTCGCTTCCTTCAGTGATGTAAACATATTAATTAGGAGAAAGCCCACACCAGGAGATGAACCCCTGATCTATATGCAAAGTCTAATAATCGTTGTACCACAGTGATTAGAATGATGATGGGGATACTGTGAAGAATTCATTTGCAGCAACTAAGCCAACAACTTTGCATTTGTTTTGAAAAACAATTATAGAGCTTAATTGGGAGCCGTGTAATGATGACAGCAGTTATTTCAGTGATTGATTCCAAAATTAAAGAGAACTGGCAAACTAAATACCCCAGTATCCTATATTAGAAAATTGAAAGGTTTAGACAGCATGTACCATATGTAAATCCTGAAATATGGCAAAATCCTAACACTACTATAGACTACTGCTTCACAGAAAAGGCTCTTGGGTAGGCACCAGCTAGGATTTTTCTCATCTTGAGGAAAAAAAAAAGCCAAAAACCCACAAAACAATAGCAAAAACCTAGACCAACTGGAGGAAAACATAAGAAAGAAGTAGAGTAGAGGTTACAAAGGGTCAAAAATAAGCTGTAATTGATAGGAAGAATTGCTCATAGCCCACTGTTGTCTCTAAATTTCTTAATGTAGATCCATTCATGAAAGAGGAGGCAGTGATTGACAGATCCAGATAAATTATTTGATGTTACTAGAATTGGTTCATAGTATTCAATTGATTTCTTATTTTAATCAGTCACTACTCATCTTTAAAAACAAGTGCCCATTTAAAAGGTCAGGATCCTTGCTTCCCTTGCACATATTTGTGAAGATTTCCCATGGAGCACAGAATTGCAATCCACAGCACATTTTGAAAATCTTCTTCCTAAAGAACAACTACCCGTGCAGTCTGATTGTGTAGCGAAAGCTCTGTGGGTGTTAGAAGTAAAGCACTGGGCTGTATCTCCAGGTCAGATTTTCCAGAAATATAGTTATGGTGCAAGCTTGCTCCACCTTGTTAACTGTGGAAACTACCATCACTGTCAGTAAGTTCACCTCTGCAAATAACAACAAATAGAAAATTTTTATGCCGTGATCCTTCAGATAATTAACAAGGAGACAGTTGCCCTTGTTTCAAGCACTGTCATAAAGCCTTCTTCAAACTCAAAGTGAGCCATTAGCAACTCTTGAGTGGTCTTCACATCCTATGGAGGGGCAGGCATCTTGCCTACATAGGTCAGCAGAAATGATGCAGGCTAAAGAGATGGTCACAGTATAAAATCAGGACAACAAAATTTGTGGTTGTGTAGTTTTCGGATTGCTGCCAGCCTGAGGGTGGTGTAAACAAGCCCAAAGCTTGCAGATGTCAGTTACTGGGGTCCTTTATTCTTGCTTTGGGCCTCATGTGGACAATGAAAATTCAACCCTTACATGTTTAACAGTAAAGCCACTGAATTTCCCGTCTTCAAACAGACAATACTTATTTTCCTTGAAATATAAATTTTAATTTGACGTTTGTAAATAGCTGTGTAATGTTGCAGACACAATCCATTTTCCACTTAGTGGACTAACAAGGACAAGTCATCTTATAAAACAGCATCAGTCTCAAACTTGCTATATAAAACCTTCCCTCTCTGCTTTCTTCTGTTCTCTGAAGTGTAATCCTTCCTGATTTATATTTCCAAATCATTTTTCTAACCAAATTTATGACATCATTTGCAAGGACTGTAAAGCATATTCAGGTGCCACTTATATTATAAAAAATGAGGTAGCTGAAGTCAGGGTGTATACCATACTCCCAATTGGATGGATAACTTAGTTTGTGTGAATAAGTTATAATTACTTTTTGTACACATTTGGATGGATGCTGGTGACTAGCATAAAAGCAGCAAAGATTTTTCAAAGAACAGAATTACTGATATCATTAAGATTGATATAAGAAGCAGTCTTGTGTGAGAAATGATACATTTTTGTGATATTTAACTACATTTTTGTCATTACAGGTATGCTACGGCACACTGTTTAAGAAAAATATGAATAGGCTCTGTAAAGTATAAGCATAATTTGATTTTTTTCCCCTCAAAGGTGGAAGCAAAATGGCACAGATATTGATCTTACCATGAGTTATCACTACAGGTTGGTTGGAGGCAGCTTGGCAATCAATAACCCACATAAAAAACAGGATATTGGAACATACCAGTGTTTGGCCACAAATTCATTTGGAACAATTATGAGCAGGAAGGCAAAGCTTCAATTTGCATGTAAGTTGGGAAGATCATATTTATTAGAGCATTATTTTCCAATTAATTCTGCACATTAACTGTAATTTATTGGATAATTAAAGTATCATCGATGATTCTGTTCAAAAGGTTTGGCTTACTTCAGCAGTGCTTACTCTTAAAAAAAATTGTTCCTAGTAAGTAATAATAACAAAAACCGACATCTGATGGCTGCCAGCCCTCAGGAACAAGAATAACTTGTAGAAAATTGAAAGGTCAAGAAAGATAAGTGCAATTATTTTAACTTAATAAAGGTGTTTTGGCTTTTTAAGACAGTGCTTTCTTTGCTTTATTGCAGATAGTTACAACGGATGTTGCAAAAAGTTAGGTTTTCTATTTTCTATAGTGTAATGACATCTAACTGAATCATAAAAACATTGCACCCCTAATTGCCACACTGACATTTTGTTACATTATCAGAGTAAGAAAGGCTTTTTCCTTACGGAGTGTGCAAAATGCTAAGCAGCGCTCTGAAATGTTTCCTATTTCAGCTCGAATGAGCAGAGCACATGCGCTGCCTTGAGATGATTTTTAATTTATTTTAGGCTTGCTCCTCATTTCACTTCTTCACAACTTCACGATCTTTTCCACAAGGTTTATCTGTAGTGACTGAGTTCTGTTAATGCCCTGGGGGGAACAACAACAACAACAACAAAACCCCCAGATATTACCTCCGTTCCTTTTTCTGCAGCATAAAGGTCTGAGCTGTCTGCCGCTGGGAGAAAGCAATTGTTTTCAAACCTCATTAATAAAACATATGTCTAAAGCCAACCTTGTGTCGCTATTTCAGACACCAGCAAATGTATTAATTATTTATCTTGTTCCATTTCTCATAGCAAATCTCATGTCGCAGGGGTTATACAAAGGAGACATTAGAGGTCGTGATGGTTCACAGACTCTCTTTTAGGAGAGCTGATCAAATGGTATATCACTAGTATCTCATTTAATAATGTTTTACCCTGAATTTCTCAAAGAGATTTTAATTCCCAAGAGCTGATCAAATGGAAACACAAATTTTGATTCATTGCTTTCCCACTTTTTCAGAAACATCTTTGCAAGCCAGCCTTCCTGTATAGGAAATTATTTCAAGACCTCGAGACAAAAATTGTTTAGTGACAGAATAAATCCCATTTTAGAGAGAAGCAAGAGTAGATGGCCTCCTCAAATTTGTCTGTGGGATCTGTAATCCCCAAGAGACCACGGTAGGCCGGCAGTGGAGCTGGAAAAAGACCTAAAGCAAAGGAATATCCCCAAATAAAGTCACGAAGAAAGAAGAAAAAAAATGGGGGGGGGGGAAAAG